TTGCTTACCATCTTAGACCAAAGACCCGGAAAACATGGGCCTGTAAATACAAAAACAAACACACTGGTCCACATTAAGCACAACTCCCAGATTTGACAAGAGCCTATCAGTTTGATTATAGAAAGTGTGCTTTCATGCTTACTACTGTTTGGGATACAACTTTGACATTCCTAAAATTTCTGGTATGATAGAGTGGAAATATTTGAATATGTTGGCAGGGGGTGTCAGAAAGAATTCACACTGTGCAAAAGGCATCTGAGTTTCTCAAATATCATAAGCTACAAATTATAAAAATTCTAATAAGCCTGTATAAGCAAGTCACTAACAGACTGTAAAATAAAATGATGCATCTTTAAGTGATATGCCAGACTACTTGATGCAGTACTGTGTTGGGTTTATATCAAATCAGAGAAATTTCTTTGTTTCTCTTTCCCCCAGTATTGGGGTTTGAACTCAGGGCCTTGAGCTTGTTAGGCAGGTTCGCTACCACTCGAGCCGCACACCCAAACTTTTCTTGCTTTAGTTATTTTTCAGGTAGAGTCTTCAGTTTTTGCCTGGCACCAGCCTCAGATCTGAATCCTCAGACCCTAATCATCCTACCTAAAGCCTCCCAATAACTGAGATGACAGGTAGGAGCCATGGTACCTGACAGAGAAATTTCCAGAAGAAAAAAACTTGTTATAGGAACAAGGCAAATGAAGACACAGAAGCCACTATGCATCATTTTACTTGAAGAAAGTGAGAGCAACCAAGGGAAAAATCAAAAAGGCACTGATGGTGTTAAGAGAAATTTATTGTTTAAAGTGATCCAGGAGATTGTCTCCTATGGGGGTAGGATGAGGTAAAGGCACTGATTTTTGATAAATCTCCTTTGAGGTGGCCCTGGTAGGGTCAACTCACAACTCTGCTTCCCATGTAATCAAAAGCAGATTAAACTGATAATTTAATGAAACAGGTTGAACACATTCCTGTCCAGGGACATAATATGTAATAATTCTCAAGTCTTCTGATTCCATAAATCACTTGATGAGCCATTTGTTCTGGAAATTAATTTATTCTAACTAGAGGAAAAGAATTAGAAGCAGCACAAAGGCCTCTCTTTACAAGTCTACTGGAAACTCAAAGGCAGTTTATGTAGGCTGAACCAGTAGAATTGAGAAATGATCTAGTTAGCCTACTTGAAATGACAGGTGCCTCAAATTAGGATGCTTAAAATATGTATTGAAGTTTCATGGTGATTTCCAGAACCAACAGCAGGTTTTTTACATGCAATACTAGCCACTGGAACATTCAGGCTCTGTATCTCTAAAGTCAAAACACTGGTTTTCATCCCTTGATGGTGCCTTTCAGTTCTATGATCTAAACCATTTTTGAAGATAATGCATGGACACATTCAAGAAGCAAGCAGTGATTTAGAAACCATTTATTAGTATCATTCAAAATTTTAAATTTTTCCAAAAGATTTAAAAATTACTACATAGACTTAGCAAAGTCCTTACTTTATTGACTGCTCATGTTTTCCAAGCCCTGTTTCACAGGCTATTATGAAGGCTCAGACATTGCTCCCTTTCTGTGGTAAAGTGCCTATTGTCCGTTGAGCGTTCACTGGAATGAACTCTGCTCTGAATTTCCATGAACCTTCTTCTCTTGTAGCCAAGCTGTACATTGGTCAAGTGTCACTTTTACATGATCATAAAGCTGTTTAGGCCAGTTATACTTGACATTGGAAATTACATAAGCTAATGAGCTATCTATAAACCTATGATATGTGAGTACAGATGGAAACTACGTTGACTAGACTTATACAGGCTTTATAAGTATACTCTATAAACACAAGGCCCTAAAAGAGATTTCCACTGAATTAGGTAGGAGAGGTGCAACTGTAAAGATTAAAAAAGAAGACTCCTAACTACCTGAAGGATTTTATACCCAGAACACCTCTAAGTTCTTGAGTCATTTCCTCTATAAAGAGACTGAAAGTGACGATTATGAGCAGTGAAGTATGGAATTTGGAAGTGGGATCAACAGGATAGACATGTACCCAAAGAGAAGCATTCTTAAGACCCTCCTCGGATGTGCACACATGTGCCCACTTACAGAGTCACGTAAAATACATCACAACAACTTTTTAAGTTCCCCAGCTATTTGTCCTAACCATGTCTGCTAACAGGGCACCACAGTATTTTAACCCAACATTTCTTCTCACTTAACCCAACATCTCTTCTCACTTAACAAAATATAATAGCTGTACCAAGCTATTCATTAACATTCCCGGAACAAGAGCTAGGAAGCAAAACTTGGTTATGAGTTAGAACAACCATGAGAGCAAGAAAATACAAGTTCATGTCTCTTCCTAGGTATACTTTGTAAAGTTGTCTATGTGAGAAGTTGAAAAGTAGAGTTATCAAAAGTAAGGCTATCAGAGAGGAAGTTTTATTCATTTATCAGAATCAAATATTTGTTTTATGGGATCATTAAGGACATAGGATCTCAACTTAGGCTGCCTGTGGTCAAATTTCAGATTTCAGCTAAAATTTTGGGAAATTCACTTTTCTCTTTACCTCTTATGTTCCTAGTTCTAAAAAGGAGTCAATAATAATAATTATTATATAGTATTTTTAGTGACTAAATGAAATTATGTGCATAGAGAACTTAGTGGAATGTTTGGCCCGAAGTATACTCTTGATGAATATTACATATCACCAACATTATTATTGTTGCAGTAAAAACAATTCTGTGTGCAAAAGTGTGCCATTTGCACATAGGAGTGCTTGTCCCCTACTTGTACCGGCCAAGTAGTTTCTTTATAATTGCAGATAGCATAGAGATATGGTCTCTCCACCAACAAAACCAAAATAAAACAATAAAAACAAAACCCAAATATTTTCACATCTTATTCTAAGTAAATAGAGTAATGATGATTGTACACTCTACTCCAAAATGCTCATAATGGTTCTGAGATTAATTTTAGGCTCTCAAAAGGTAATTGCACAAAAGTCCTGGTTTCAGTTAACATGCTTGATTGCACTGCTATGATTTATAACATCGTATGTGAAAAGACCAGGCATCTTAGCTCCATTGTTGGACGTAGTTTTTTCTTTCTGTTTAGTTATTCTGGGAAACACCCTGGGAGGCAAATGCAGCATGAGGAGAACATTCCCAGGGTGAGAGGAATAAATAGTGTAGAGGATGACACATGTAAAGGGACTTTTCATACCCAAAGTTGGTCCTCAATGCTGGGAAAGATGCCTATTGGGTTTTGGAACCTCTTGCCTCTTACAACTCTACCTTCAAACCTTTCCCTGGGAAGGCTATCTATGAAACTAGGAAATAGTACCTTGGTCTTTAATGTATTGAATTAACTTGAGAAGATGAGCCACACTGGGCAAATGAGCTTTGGCATATTATGGCCCCTGACCTCAGAGCCACCGAAGTTGCATATATGTTTATACTTCACAGGAACCGCTTATAATTTTAGACTTGAAATTGGTTGGGAAATTTTTAAAAAATGAAATCATGTGAAAATTTTGCAGTAACCCGTTGTCGGCTGAACCTTGGCTGAAGGCCATCCTACGGAAACAGATGTTTGCTTATTCTAATTTTCTAGCAGGAATGTGAGTTTATATTTGGATTTGCTCCTTAAGATAATATATATGTCTGGTAGGAGGAAAACATATAGAGCCCTTCATCAAACTGCTTTCCCACCACAATCCTGTTGGCAGGTCCCCTTTGAGATGTCAGATACGGAAACCTCAAGTACCAAAATTCTGAACTTCCTCCAGTTTGATGTTCCAGACATTCTGAATCATCAAATGGGATGTAGTGTGTGCCCTGATGTCATTACCTACTCCCTTACAATGTCCCTGCAAAGAATACATACCTTGTTCAAACATTCTCTACTTATGTTTTCAAAGTACTTTCTAGATCCTGTGAGTTCACCCAACTCAAAATTAATAATTTCCACAGAATACTGTTTAATTATTTAGAAATCCAAACACTGAATCACTCTAGTAAGTACTTATGTCTTTGAAAAGGTAACCTCTGCAGCCTTTGCCTTCCAGACTGGTGTTTCTCTCTCTCTCTCTCTCTCTCTCTCTCTCTCTGTGTGAGAAATGATGACGTGGTTGGCACATATATGTGACAGTCTTGTAATGAAATGTCTATGTGACTGTTCACATCAAGGAGTATGGGAACTCTCAGTTAAATATACAGTGCTGTATAAATAATCACCATTGCTATTTCTGCTAGGGGAAGAAGCTGAGAACTTAGCTACATTCTCTGATGTGAGTTCAAATATTACAGGAATAATTAAAGACATCAGGATGAACTCAGAAAGCTGATGAATTTGGGGTATTCTTTTGTCTGTTACTTCTTTAGAATTGCTATTAAATTTGAATTTGAGGCTCCTGTTTGCTTCGCTGAAAATCAATGCCAGTGGACAACAGATGGCAGTGTTCCGCCTTTTAAAAGAACTGCTTGACCATCTCTCCTGGAATGACAACTGCTCGCTCATTAACAGAAAGAGTTTGGTTTCCTTTATTCACAGAAAACAAGAACTATAAAGAGGAAAACTTCCATGACTATTGGTAGAAATTAATAAAGAAATAAAACTGTGCAATATTCCCCCAGGTCATTGTTAAAGTGAGATTATAATTATATAATTATAATGGCACAATCAATAATTTGTCTTGATTACAAACATTTTAAAATTCTGTCACTTTTCTCCTTTTCTTTCAGTGCTGAGCTCAAACTCAGGGTAGGCAATTGATTTTTCACTAAGCTGCAGCCCAGGATTGTCTTGCTTCATTTTGATGACATATGAAAGATAGAATCCATTTCCATACACAATTTGATTTAAGTATTTCTTCCACATGCAATTTTCTCAAGATTAAAATGTTCATAACATAAACATATCAAAATGTACATTTACACACCGAATTTTATGAACCATCACTGGCATTTGTTTAACCATGTGCTACGATCACCGGATTCTCTCCCACCTCATATGCAGGGGGCTCATCTACACAGATTTGCCTTGACTGGACTTGGGCTAGCATCTGTCCCCTGGCTGCCACAGTGCCTCCAGATTCATCTTCATGCTACTGCCTATGAGGTATTGTTCCACTTCATATGCTGGAAGAAACAAACCCGAAAGTACACAAGTTGAAAATCCCAGGAGCTGCCACTTCTGAATAGCATGCCTTTCTTTGCCACAGCACCTGCCACCATTCTCAAACCAACTTTAACTATGTGATTACGTCATAAGACCTGTTTTCCTCCTGTAGGCTGAGAGTTGTACCAGAACAAGGGTGAGGCTAGATTTCACTCACCAGATTTAACCCGGAGCCTAGAATAACATCTGCAATTAGAAATGATATCAGAACATTTGCATAAGTAGCAAATGTTAAACCTCCAGCAGTAAGTAACTTCCCTCTGACTCTGTGCCTGAAAGAAATGTAAAAAGACAAATTATAGTGTTCAATCTATCTCCTTAACAGTAATCGTAGCATTTTCTGGAACCCATCTTACCATCTAAACACAATCTTCTAGAACAATTTCACACTCTACTCTCACATTTACTTAAATTTTTTCTTTTAAAATAAGCAAACTGTTAAACTGGAAATGGAAGCCAGGAATAAAACTTATAATAAGCCAAGCATGGTGATACATGCCTATAATCCCAGCTACTTGGGAAGTGGAGATCAAGAAGATTGCAGTTTGAGGCTAGCCCAAGCAAAAAGTTAGCAAGACCCTGTCTCAACAGATATGCTGTGTGTGGTGGGTTAGGCAGAAGGATGAGGTTCAATGTCAGCCCTGGACAAAAAATATGAGACCTTATCCCAAAAATAAGAACTAAAGCAAAAAGGTGCTGGGAGCATGGCTAAAATACGAGCCTAGCAAGCATGAGGCCCTGAGTTCAAACTCTAGTACTAAAAGTAACAACCACCTACATTTAACAAGTTGGTTCTAGGATAAGTACTATATATAAAACAGTGAAGTTGCCAAGAAAAACAGTATCAATAAATAAAGCAACTCTAAAGATTATTCTATATGTGGGCTGTACATGAAAAGAATAGGGAATATGGATGAGTATTTTCTAGAAAAAAAACAGAAAAATCTTAACAGGCTGGGAGACGGAGAAAGAATAGTCCTTTGGGGCAAAGTAGTGTCCAAGTACCCAGCATTTCAGGTGGAAAGGCAAAGACTGGAGCAGATGGAGGGACCTAGCCACAGAGGGATATGAACCACATCCAAGAGCCTTGACTGACTTCTAGGGACACGAAGAAATCTGTCACCACTATGCGTGGAGAGTCGAGTTGGCTGACTTTCAGGGCCATGGTTGGAGACACAGGTAACTAAGAATCTCTCACCTCGTCCATCATCAACAGGAATCAGTTCTTATGGAGTCGCTGAGGTTGAAGAAGTGAGTGGCGTCCACAGAGTGATTCAAGTTTCACAGCAGGGGAGAGAATAGGACTAGAAATACACACTTGGGCACTGCTGCCATAGACATGGTCATCAATGGCCCTCCTGCTACCATGGGAGAGTGTGACGAGAAATAGGAGTGTACTGAGGCCAAAGGCATCATCAATAATGACCTCTGACACCCAGACAGAAAGGAATCCCATAGAGGAGTGAGAAGGATAGCAGAGTTGAGGTAGCATACAAAGGACCAATGGAATTTATTTGTGAAGAAGGAAGGAATGGAAAGAAGGAGGCTGCCAGGCAAGTTGAGCAATGAGAGGGAGACAGGAGAGTGAAGAGAATGTCAACAACTCTCATGAAAATTGGCCCTAAGATGGAAACTACAGATATGTCAGTTGGTTAGGGATTGGGTGGGGAACAGGACCTGGAGTGGTTGAGCACTGAGTATGCACAAATGTTGAAGGGGAGCTCATAGGATAAGGTTAAAAACACAGTAAAGAAAATATAATGATACATAGATAAAAATCCTAGAGAAGAAGGTAAGGGGGGAGGGAGGAGCCTTTTCCAATGGGAGGCAACTTTGTCATAATCACACCTGTAGATGTACAGGTGAGAAGTTCCACAAATTCTCAGACTTAGGTTTTTATTTACTTTCCAAATCAGATAGTGAATCCCTAGCTCAGAATGTGAAGTGGGCAGTGTTGAGGATAGAGGTACAAAGGAAAATAAAGATGGTTTTAAAGAAGAATGAAAAAGAGGCTGAATGCTCAGGTGAGACTGACTACTGAGGGCCCAGCTGGGGTTAGAGAGGACTGGCTCCATGTTGCTTGAATATTTTCCATGCTACTCATATGAAATTACAAAAGAAAAGGTGGCAAAGAACACAAGTAGAGTCCAGCAAGGAAGAAAGAAAGATGCCTGGCTGAATGGAGTGGAGCTCAGAGGTCAGGTGGAAGAGCAGGTAAAGAAAGCAGAGGTGTGGAGTAGAGCAGAGGAGCCTGAAGGAGCATGAGGTCAGACTGCAGGTACACGGAAGACCTGCTTTTTATGGGGAGAAAAAACAGGCTTAAAAGGAAGTTCTGAGGACAGATTTCAGATGCCTATGGATGAAAAGCATTTTCTAATTTTATTGGTAATTTAGAGATAAGAGATGTTTGAGAAGGAAACTGACATAATCAAACAGTGTCAATGCTTGAGGAAGATCACAGTGACCAGGACTGCAAGAATAACAGGCATGAAAAGGAGGAGGGTCACAACATAAACATCCCGAAGGACAGAGTGAAAGCAGCATCAAGGGTATCCATGTACACAGAAACTGATGACACCTGGGGACATGAGACTTGCAGGCTGGTTGTTCCTATGACAGTTTTCTTTACTCTGTCAGTATTTTCTCAGTTTTGTCTTTTGGTCATCTCTTCAAGAGACATAGGCCTCACAAAATAATATGCAAACAATTCAATCATTAACAAATAAAATCCCGCAGGCAATGGTGGCTCATGCCTGTAATCCTAACTACTTAGGAGGCATAGATCAGGAGGATCATGGTTCGAGGTCAACCCAGGCAAATAGTTCTGCGAGACTCTATTTCGAAAAAACCCTTCACAGAAAGGGCTGGTGGAGTGGTTCAAGGTGTTCAAACCCCAGTACCACACACACACACACACACACAAATCCTTATTGAGACTTACCAACTGTCTGGGAAAATGTCCTCTTTTTGACATCTCCTGGAAGTCACTCTTAGGATGTAAAACCATGGAGGGTAGTGATTTTGCTCAATAGCCCAAATTGTTTTAATACAACAGGAAACACTTCATACATGAATTAAAAACTCCATTAATACCGTTTCTATAATGAAATAGATCACAAATTAAGTAGTAAGGTTTCTAAACTTACAGATCAAATTTTAAAATTAATGAAACTCAAGATTTCTGGAAATCAGAATGTGTTTTTTTTCTGATGAAATCATGTTAGAAATGATAAGACTTTCTGAACTTACAGAAACTTATGTGCTCACATAATAAGTATGGTGGAATTTTTTGTTGTTGTTTTCCACAGCAAACACATCTTACTTCCATTTTGTTATAATTTTCTAACAGGAAAAATACATTTTATCAATGGGGTGGAGGCCCTGGGGAAACATCCATTTCTGCTTCATTTATTCGATAAACACTAACTGAACATCGACTTGAATGTAGGTGCTGTCTATATTCTAGAGCTACAAAGATGAATGACCAGGCTGATGCCCTGCAGTCTAATTGTAGATGTTCAGGAGGCTGAAAAAGATCAAAGAGAAAAAAGCTGAGGCATCCCTGGGGCTGTATCACTGCTGCCTCTGCTTATAAGGAGAGTGAAATAAGTTGCATGAAAGTAGAAACAGCTGTTTCTCAAAGCCCAGTTTTCAAAACACCTGTGTCCAGTCACGTGATTTCAGACATACTTTGAAAAATGGCCACTTTGAATGGAATCATTCATCCCTCTCCTCAAAACAAACCAATTCTCCGAGAAGACAACCGTGAACAGGATGAGAGACACATAGAGAACAAACTCTTACTGCAAATCTAGAGACCTCTGGTTTCTCACATTTCCTTCAAAAGACCCTGTGATTCACAGGGCTCCAACACCTGTCTTACCTCTGACACATGGATTCGGGGTTCTCCAGTTCTCGTCTTTCTGTTAAGGACTGGGAAACTCTAAGCTCCCTTTCCCCTGAGTACTTAAGAGTCTGCTTCTTGCTATCCGGTATTAAGGGATGGAATAAGCTAATATGTGAACAAGTTTTGCATCTGAATATAGGTGCGGATATGAAAAGTTTGTAATAGCTCTTCTTGACTTTTCAAAATACAACTTGCATTCTAAAACTGTCATTCTAATGGGGGTGACTTTGAAAATATGAAATCAGTGCACCAAAGGTTAAGTTTGCCACCCAAAGTTACTTACTGTTTCTCTGTGGAATTACTAATCACAACTAAACTGCCTGTCAGAATTTTGAATATGTTCCTATGTACAGACTCTTAACTTGGATGATATCAAAATACGTTTGCCAATCTGTTAGACACTTTCAGTAAACTTTTATTCCAGTTCGTCTTTATCAATTTAGGATCTCATTATCAAGGAAATTTGTCAACATCATCAGTCAACTCCAAGGTTTCATGCTATACTCCCTTCCTTCCCATTTTTTGGGAAAATGTCACATTAGACTCTTCCCAGAGCTAAGTCTTCAGGAAGATCCCACTCTTAGTATTTCTCTACCAAGAAAAATGACATTTATTCTTTCTCCCTATTTTTCATACTTGAGACAGATCTTTCATATTATTTGCACCCAGAAGGAAAAATCTGTGGGTTTTTTGTGGAGCTCTTTTGAATAATAGGAAGGCATTCGTCTTCATTTTCCTCCTAGGTGGTAATGAAAATATAATTTTATAATGTATCTGTCTACAAGTCTGGGTTAATTACTTCAGTTTAAGAAACTGGTTTCAGTTATAAGGTTATTATATTCAGAATGTTATGAGACAATTAAAAAATATGATTATGCTAGAGTCAGCAGACCGTGGTGGCTCACCAAGATATTTACAAGGCAGATGTTGGGTGGGATCCTTAGGTTTTATAGGGAAAGCATTTCAAAGTGGTTCTCTACTCCACACATTCAGCAACAATGACTTGC